TGTGTGTGTGGGGTCGACATGCGTGGAAATAAACGAGAGGTATAGGTTAGATGCTCTCTCCATTTTTATTTGATTTTGTGTTAGCCTTCCATTTCCCCTAATTACATTGACATTTGACACTGACACTTTTTTTTTTAGTAAAACAAAATATAACAATCTTTTGAGTTTTGAGTGTCAAAAGCCTTTTTGCCTTAATACTATACTACCCACAATTAAATTATTTTAGTTTAATTGTGGGTAATTGTCCATCTTTTGTAACGTGCATCACGATATAATAAAGAAGTATCGAAAATGTAACCAAAATAAAATAAAATAAAAGATGGTAACTAACTTTTTTATTGTACGTGATGTTCATATGTAAAGTAAATGTTTTTGACAGAAATAAATACGAATGCAAATCAAATCTCCCTGGAAAAAGCCTATTTTTTTAATCATTTATGTGGTAGTCTAGTGGTAACATAAGTGGTTCGTTTCATAGTGTCCCGAGTTTAAATTTCTTTTAGTACAAAGGGTTATTCTTTAAATCGAAATATCTAAAAACTGACTCCAAATATCGAAGAAATTATAGCGAAAGGTTCGAAACTTCGACGATTTATAAAAAATATAAATGTTAAAGTAAATGTTACATATGAACATCTCGCACGCTACGACTACGACTAATGAGTAAGAGCTTATAATTTGGGCTCTCTTGTGGAAGAATCAAACAAAAAGTTTTTATCATGAGAAATGGGCCTTCATGTTATTCAGCCCATACATTATTACGAAAGGGATTTGTTTGTCTTCTTCCTTTCTTAGTTCTTATCCAACTAAAAACCAAAGAGTGCGTCATTATAATATGTCCAACCTTCAATCTCTCACATTGAAACAAAAATTACACAAGAATCTGATGAACATATTACAAAGGACGGACACTGTCCATCATATTCACTGAATAATAATGTATATTGTATACATACCATTGAACACACGTTACATTTTCTGTGTATTTTTGTTTTTCCATTTCTGCCATGTTTTTATGAAGGTTGTACAAATTCGTACTATACAACAGTTTATCTTTTTTGTATTTTTATTGTAGAAAATATACTGTTCATATATTGGAGAAGGGCCAAGCAGAATGGGGACCATATAGAAAGAAGTTGAGAGAAAGATATTTTTTGTGCTCGAAATATCCAAAACGTAAAACCAAGAAAAACCAAAAAGAAGGACTCTTACAATTTGCCACCAGTTCCATTCCCAATCATTATCACTCTTTTTGGAACATGCTTGTGTGAATATCCCGTGGAATTGCTCTGTCTTTTGTGTTGAATTCTTGTGCCGTTTCTTTTGTCTTTAACAAGACACATGAGTACAATGATAAATTACTCTAATGCTTTCAAGGTTACTACTACTAGAAAACATTTTTGAGGTATAGTAACTTCAAAACACTGTTAAAGCTAAACTAATTTGGGATTGATTGCATTTTAGACCCGGCCGGGAAAACAAAAAAGAGAAAATCTTTTGTTTATTTTTCACCAAACTACATTTACAATTACAGAGATTAATACCTTTGTAAAAGAATCGTTTTCTTTGGGAAAACAAAACAAAACAAAACCTTTAAACTTTACAGAGAAAATGAAGGGGGAAAAAATAATCAAATATCATGAAACGGGATTAAAAATCCTACTTGGCGTTGGCACTACAATGCTCTGCGTCTCTGGCACCGTCTCATGGTTATCTCCGGTGTGATCAACTCCGGCAGCCCATCGCCTTAAATATCTCATCAACGACGCCGCTTTCCTCCCTCCCCTTGCTGTTCCCGTCCCTATCATCTCCCATATAACCCTCTCGATCCCTGGAATCGCCGCCATTTCGGCTACTAGCTCCGATCCTCCTTTCCTACACATTGTCACAAGCGTCGCTGCCGCGCTCTCCCTTGTCGTGTCCGCTCCTTCCCTCATCACCTCTCCCAACAGTCGTATTAGACCGAAAGCCGCGGACACCGCCATGAGTCCCCCTCTCCTCACCACTGCTTCCACGACAGCCACCGCCTCCTCCGGCAGTTCCCGGAATGCATCTCCAGCGGCCTGCACTACTCCAGCTTCGACGAACCTCCCAACGTTCTCCCTCTCCGCCGCAAGGTTCAGGATCGCCACGAGCGCGTCTCTTTTCGAGCTTGTTGGGCCCTGTTTCGCCAAGTCAATCAATCCGTTCACGACGCGAGCCTTTCTCCCGAGTCGTCTTTTGTAAGCGGAGACGCCGGCCAAACTGAACAGCGTCGCGGCGGCGTTTGCCTTAGCCTCCCACGTGGCACCCAAACGCAAAACCTCAATGACACCGTTTAAAGCTCCATCTGTTTCCATGATCCTCGTTTTGTTCTGTTCCAGGATAGAGAGGTTGAGTATCGTCGTGACTGCGTTTATCTGAAGGCTCGGAGATTCCGAGCTTAGATAACGTACAAGCTTCGGTATTGCTCCAGCCTCGGCTATGCAGGCTCGAGCCACTGAGTCCGACTTTGCGAGCGCCCGGAGCTCGGAAACGACACCGTTTGACGACTCTGCCACTGCGGAACGTGCAGAGAGCTTGTCGATCAAAAACGAAACCATCATCCTCGTGAACTCCTCCGCTTCCTTGCACGGCGCAGGCTCTCCACTGCCGCCTTCTCCGTATAACTCGAACGGTATCTTCTGATCGCGGCACCACATGACGATCAGGTTCTTCAAGGCACGGTTTGGTATGAGGTTGGTGTGCTTGAGGATTTGACCTGTTTTGGGGCAAGTATTGTGCCCTGATTGGATCCAAAGATCGATCGACTCTCGATCGTAAGTCTGACCGGTGGAAACCACAACCGGGTCTCGCATCAGCTCAAGCGTGATCGGACACCGGAAATCCGCCGGGATGTTCGCTTCCGATAACGACGTGTAGCGACGGAAATCCGGAGGCGGCGTGGGACCGTACAAAACGCACTTTGTGTAACGCACGAGTCCGATAAGAGAGGCGGCTGCGGATTTGGATCTCTCGTCGATCTGATCCTGAAATTCATCCTCCAATCTCTGGATTTCTTCCGTCAAACTAGCCGAATCTGGAAAACCCAGGTCGTCCAAAATCTCGATCAGCCTTGACTGATCTGGGGAGATCTGATGCTTGATTCCGTCGATTATGTCGGTCACTTTCCGACGGAGAGCATCGTCGCGAGGATCGACGAACTGAATCGAATCGGAGCATTGTTTTCTGAGGAGAACGATTAGGTCGTCGACGTCGTCGCTGAGGCTGAAATCCTTTACCGGGAAAATATCGAGAACGGTGGATAAATCGGTGATAAGCTCGTGAAAACTGAAGGCGACGATTTCGATCTGCAAGAGTAACCAGAGTTTACTAGACCTAGAGCAATCGTCGATCAAAGTCTTCATACGCTGCATCACGAGATGCATTTCCTCGAAGCAAAGATGAGCGGATTGAGAGTAAACCATTTGTGATCGGAGAAGCTCATCGAAAACCGCCGATAGTATCTTCACTTTGCGGATGATAGAGAGAGAATTCCGTCGGAGGATGAAACGGAGAGGCTGCATAGAAGAAATCTCCTGAGAAGCGAGGAACAGAGACCGAGTCAATTTCGCATCTGATAGCTTCGGAGAGTCGTAAGATCCGGCGACCAACGGCCGTCGTTTTCTCGCCGGAAAAACATCGAGAGTAACAGCCAT